AAAGAAGCTTCTCCAGGGAAAGAACAGCTTTTACTGCAAGAAGGGAAGCAGAGTACGTTGAAGCCTCAGAAGGGAGTGAAAACCAAAAGGAGAAAGACAGTGATGCTCTGAGTACAGCAAGTATCTATAGCAACAGCAGTCTGTGGACATCTTACTGCCTATGCATGAAGTCTAAAAGGAGAAGGAAGACTATATGATGTATTTTTAGAAGAAAGACTATGATGTCTACTTTGTGTCAGATATACTGATCTCATCTAAGTTATTTTAGCATTATTCATTTATATGTTTAAGCTGTTTAATGTGCTTCCCTTCCAGATATTTGTGTCAGTTATTTATAGCTAATCACCCTTACAGTGCAGTGAAGACAATAATGTGAAGTTTAGAGAATCAAGGAACAGGTACAGTGACAGTTCTGTTACTTAGTGTTTCGCAAATGCCAATGGAACAGTAAGTTCTGCAATATTCTCTTAGATAGACTCTAGATAGTCCCTCATATGATGTAAATTGAATGCTTACTTCCAGTGTTGGTGTATATTTGCATTGGTCACATCTGCCAACCTCTTCAGCCCACTGAAAACTTGCATTTAGTCTGTTTATATACATGTGCTGTTATGTAATGACTCAGCTTTCAGATAGTGTTAATTTCTTTAATGAAGAGGAGTCCTTTTGTTCTCCAGATCTTTGAAGTTCTTGAAGAAGAGTGTCTTAAAATTAAGATCCACTGTGAAAACAGTTCTTACTGCAGTACAGTTAAGTTAATTTTAAGGAGTCCATTAGACAAAGAATATGAGGTGTTAATTATTGTCAAAGGAAGGGAAACTGAAATTTAATCTTAAAAATGCTGGTCTTAAATACGTTTTTTTTTTTTTTTCATTCTAAGGTTCAGTTCTTTAGTTTGATAATATTGATATTTAATGCTCATATTTGCTCTTAAAATCTTACAGCAATAATTAAGCTTAAGCTGTGAAATCTCTCAAATTATGAGCTGTACGCTCAGTGCATGTATACCAGTGGCTCCAGATGCCATATTATATGATCTCTGTATTTTTTATGGATTTAATGGCATCAATATTCTGTATTAAGTTGTCTGTATCACTGGCATGACTTTTACACTGCCAGGTCATTTCACATTTTCACCTAATTGATGTAAATATACGGCAGTCCAGCTCAAAGGCACATGTAGGTAGAAATGAAGTGAGAAATCGAGTGATTGGCAGGAATTTGGGAAAAATGCTTGTCTGAGGACTGTGTCAACTGTGCATTAATATAGTCTTCTGTAAAGAAAGACCATGTTTTGGTTAATTTACAGATGCTTGTTTATCTTTACATGAAGCAGTTGATGATCCAGTATTTTCAAATAAATGTTCTAATTTTGTAATTTTATGGACATAATGTAAGGCATATCATAGACTGTTTTCTCGTAGTAAAGGCAGGGATATGTTCCCTGACATGTAGTGGATTTGCTATAGAGAAACCCAGTGGGAACTTAAAGAAAAAAATACTTAAATTAAAAAAACCCAAACCAACACCACAGTCATTAATCCAAGACCTTTTTCCCCTCATATAAAGGGGAACAACCCACAACTGTGGGCCGGAGAGTTATTGGAGGCAGAATGTTTTGGGTTTTTTTAATTTTTAAAAAAAACAAACCGATTTAACAGACACCTGATTTTTGTTGCCTGACAGCACAAGAGGATGAACTTTGGTCTGCCCATAAAATGGTGCATGGACTTACCTAAAGAGATGAATACTCCAGAGCGCTTGAAATCTGAACATCCTAAATTTGCTGCTGCAACTAAGGCACATAAGTCTATGGGGCCTGATGGGATTCATCCCAGGGTACTGAAAGAGTCAGCCGATGTTATTGCTAGACCTCTCCCAGTTATTTATCAATGACTCTGGAGAAGGTCTGAGTTAACTGGAAGCTAGCAAATGTTGTTCCAATTTTCAAGGAAGGCAAGAAAGAAGACCCTGGTAATTATAAGCCTGTCAGTCTCACTTCAGTGCCAGGTAAAATGATGGAGAAGGTTATTCTGGGAGTTACTGAAAAATGCTTGAAAGACAAAGTGGTTGTTTGTCAAAGCCAGCATGGGTTCATGAAGGGAAGGTCATGCCTTACTAATTTAATATCCTTTTAAGACAAGATTACTGACCTCGAAGGCGAAGGGAAGGCAGCAGATGTGAGTGTTTGGGATTTTAGCAAAGCTTTTGATACTGTGTCTCATAGTATCCTTCTGGACAAGATGTCCAGCATGTACACAGTACTGTGGGTGAACAATTGGCTTGAAGGGTTGGTCCCAAGGAGCTGTAGTAAATGGGGTACCATCTAGCTGGCGGCCAGTCACTGCTGGTGCTCCCCAGGACTCAATTTTAGGGCCAGTGCTCTTCAATGTTTATATCGATGACCTGGACATAGGGAGTTGAGTTCACACGAGAGAGTTTGCCGACAATGCTAAATTAGGAGGAGCCGTTGATTCCTTCTAGAGTAGAGAGGCCTTATAGAGAGACCTTGCTAGATGAGAGTGCTGAGCAGTCACCAACTCTATGAAGTAAAACAAGAACAAATGCCGGATTCTGCAGCTGGGACAGTGTAATTCAGGATGTGTAATGAACTGGTCGAAAGAAGAGGTGGTCCCGCTATATTCAGCATCAATGCGGTCTCACCTTGGGTGCTGTGTGCAGTTTTGGGCTCCACAATAGAAGGAGGATATAAAAATATTGGAATGTGTCCAAACGAGGGCAACAAAGATGGTGAGAGGACTAGAGGGCATGACTTATGAGCAGCGGCTGAGGTCATTTGGTCTGTTCAGCTTAGAGCAGAGGAGACTGAAGGATACCTTCATTGCTGTCTACAACTTCTTCATGAGGAGGAGCGGAGAGGGAGGTGCTGATCTCTTCTCTGGTGTGAGGTGATAGGATGCCTGGGAATGGCTTAAAGCTGGAAGTTCAGACTGGATATTAGGGAAGAAGTTCTTCACTGAGGGTCTGGTCAAGCACTGGAACAAGCTCCCCCGGGAAGTGGTCATGGCCCCAAGCCTGTTGGTGTTCAAGAAGCATTCAGACAGTGCTCTTAGATACATGGTTCAACTCTCAGGAACTTATGGAGGGAGACCAGTCACTAAACCTGAAGGACCTGAGCGTGGTTTCCCTCAGACCAGCCCAGATGCATTTTGCTGAGTTCAGTTCATTTCAATTCTTTCCCTGATTCTCAAAGGTCATCAAAATAAATTATTTAGGCAAGTTGTCCATACTAAGGGCCTTTTCTGATGCAGTGTGGGGACAGATAGCCCATCTGGAATCACTTCAGCCATACCAGCAGAAGTGTCTACAGGATATATGTAGCCGGAGCCCATGGAAGTCCCCAATATAGCAGTCTCTTTTATGTTCACTCCAGGTACTAGGAAGAGGAGGTGTTGGATATATGGGGCTATATATATTATTTGTGTTTGAAAGAAGTTATTTGAGAGTAAGAGTAAGCCAAGCAGAAAAAAGGCATTATGTATTTTGCTCTGAAACTGGTGAGGTCTTCAGCTGTTTCCCTTCTGCAGGAGTAACACTGGCGTCTGGTCCAGCTCCTGCCAAAGTTGTATTTCCCACTTTTGCTTCCTTCTCTGTTAATTTTGGAACAGATAATAAAACTGAAATGGACCATATGGCTAATCCCTGAGTGCTAATAGCTGGCTTGTACCTTAGTCAGCATCTCCTCGTCCACTGCCAAAATCTTTTGAGTCTCACACGACAGTAGGGCAGAGGGATAGTGGGAAATGCACTGCATTTATACTAGAGGAGTCAGCGCTTGCAAAATTGGAGAGACCTGATCTATCCACCCACTATTCATGCTGCAACTATTGATCCTGTTTATGTAGGTTTAACCTTCTGGTCTGGAGAGTAGTGAAATTGCAGGTAGGTTATTGGTGTCACCAGACTTGCATTAATAAATTACAGTGCTAGATGCTGATAGATGCTAAAAGCATTAGGACCCTAAAAACGTCAGTGAACCAATTGTATGCAAACAGGGTTTGATTGTTTTTTCTTTTAAATATCCTTGCTGAAATGTGTGTGTCAATACTTCGTTGTCGTACCTCGTAAACTCGAATTGCTCTTTGACCAAGACGTTCTCTTCTCCTCTCCTTTAGGCTACGCCCTCATACCTTCCACTAAATCTGATAACTTCTCGGACTCCAGTCACAGTGAGATTTCATCCCGGTCCAGCATCGTGAGCAACTGCTCAGTGGACTCGATGTCGGCAGCGCTGCAGGACGAGAGGAGTTTGTCCCAGTCTCTCATTGTGGTGGATTCGGGGGGGGCAGAGAGAAAAGAGCATCCTCAGCCGCTGGCTGATTACGGGCAGCCGTGCCCAGGGTAAGATGCAACTGGTTTTGGTTGGGCTTGGCGTCAAAAGGGCTAACAAAGCTTTGGTCAGGACACAGTTATGCACTCTACTGTGGTTATTAAGCTCTTGCTAGAAGCTGGAGTACTGGCTGCTCTGTATAGGAAGAGCCTGTTTTCCCAAGAAACTTACAGTATTACTTGGGTAGACAATAGCTTGTTTCCATCGTGGGGTTCAGATGGACATCTCTTGCAGGAGACTGCAAATGCGTTAAAAGCTAGGATGATATTTAACAAATTAGTGCAGTAACGAGAGACAGCAGAAGAACAACAGGATACTATCAATTCTCTCTGAGTCAGCAGTGCCAGTCACTTAACATACTCTAATGTGATTTTTAAGGATTTTTCTTATTATCATTTGTTGTTTAGGCAGACTGGAAGCTTTCTGTCACTGTCTTCCTGAGAGTTTCCACACAAGAGGTCTTGTTACTTTAGTGCAGTGAGAACTTGTCTTGAGATGATACTTTGAACTGGAAGTTTTTGGTTTTGTCTTACTAGATGTTAAGCCTTGATCCATAAGGTATAATATGTGGGAATCTTCTTGGGATAGCATCTTCTGTTCTCAGATGTTGTGGATTGAAGTAAATGAGAGATGCTCCTTACATTTCTAATTTTTACAGCTCATCTCTAAAGCTATATAAGGTTTTTATGATTGAACTCTATAAAGAGCTGTATGTTGTTTCTGTATAATTGATTATAATACACCAGTACTCTGTGGTGTTTTCTCCCCTGTAACAAAGCTTATTAGCGTATGAAGTGATGCAGCTCTTAAGACATTAGTGATTCGATTTATTTCATTGGGCTAAAATGGGAATTTAAAGATGTGCTTCATAAGTGAAAATAATTCCCTTTTCTAAAAGGTGTAACACATGCTGAGAGTTGAGTCAGAACAGTGTACTGAGCTAAATGCCCCTTCATACTGGCTATGAAAAGCCACCTTCAGTGGTGGCTGAAGTAGAGTGAATTGCATCAAGGACACTGCTGCTCTCTAAACTCGCTCTTCTCTTTGCAAATTAAAAGCAGATTGTTCACGTTTTGTGGTTGTTCCTTTATACCTTAGTTTCAATGGGTTTTGGAGGGAAGAAAGCAGTTTTTATACTAGAACTTATAAAATAGAAAAGCAAGGAAAAAAAAGTTGTTTGCACATATCTAAGATATGTTCCTCGATTTCACAACGTGTCAGTAAACTGCTGAGGGTTAGTGTTGAATTTTAATGTTGTGCTGCCCATACATTTGTTAGCATAACCAGAAATAGTTAAGAGACTTGAATAATGTCTAGCAATTGTAACTTCATGTATTCTAAATTCATGCAAACCTGGCTTTATTTTTTTCCCTTAATTATGCATTGACAGCGATTAGCGCTTTTAGCAGCCATTTCTTCAAACAAGACATTTTGTACTTGGGTTTTCAGAATTTGTCACTCCAAAACGTTTCCACAAATGTTGTTTATGCCTGATATTTCCAAATGTTATTGAAATACAACTACCTCCACTCTGTCTAAACAACTTTACGTTGCTGCCAGTGAAGGGGTTGTTTTTTATTCTAAATATTTATTTGGGTTTTAGTTTATAAATGCAAAGGAAAAAGGTGTTAGTAGCCTGAAACTAAGAGGTAGTTATTCCTCTGCTTTCAGTCAGGCACTGTCTTTCTGTAGTTGATAGAGGAAAGCTTCTGTGGACCAGATTTTTAAGGATCTGGGGTCAAGCCTGTAAATGCCTGTTGCAGACTTGTTATTCCCTTGGGAATAACTACCCAGCTGCCGTGTGCAGTAATGAGTCAGGAATAATAGTGTCTCTTGTCAGTGCTCCCGTGTGCCTTGACCTTGCTGTGTACCTGTTTTAAAACCAGAGATTAGATGCCTTTAAAACCAGATAATTGTCTCTGAGTACGTCACACTTATTTTAAAAGCTGATGAGGTTTTTTTTCTGCTTTCTGTTGTTTTCAAATGTAGCTGGTCAATCACTAGGCCTGCTCTCATCAGAGGGATGGCTTTCACGTCCTCCATGAGCAACGAGGAGATCTCCCATGAACATATCACGGTAGAGGCAGCAGATAGCGGCCGGGGAAGCTGGACTTCATGCTCAAGTAGTTCTCATGACAACTTCCAGAATATCCCAAACCAGAAGAGCTGGGATCTCCTCAATTCTTACCGTCACACCCAGCTGGACGGACCTATAGCTGAAGTCGATCCCACAAACTGTTACTCTGAGGAGGCTTATTTGTATTCTGAAGCCTTTTCCAAAACCAACAGGCAGTCGAAAGCCAGCGTGGAGCTCGATCAGTCCCGGCAGAGCTGGGCCTCCTCCAGTTCCCTGTCGGACACCTACGAAACAAACTATGGGACAATTAAGCGGAGGGGGCTGGAGAACTCTACAGCAGAGCAGACGGAGGTTTTGGACTCTAAACCAGGCACTGATACAACTTACAAAACTGTTACTTCGAGTACAGAAAAAGGCCTGATAGGTAAGCCAAGCCAACAGCTTATGGAAGCTTCTACATCTGTTTTTCACTTTGATATCAAGTTGTTAAGAAATGACATCAGCAGGTCTGGGGGCTGGATGGCATGTTAAATTCAGCTTTACATGTGGTTTTAATCAGAGCACTACACAGACAGTGTGTTTTCAAGCCACCTTCTTTTGCATTAGGAAAATTGAAATAATAAACCAGCACACTTCCCAATCACTTTATGGGTCTGCAGGAGAACCATCTTCATGAAAATGTCAGGCAGTTCCTCTCGGTAGTGTGACCTTTTGGTTTTTTGGATTCTTTTGGAAACACTTATCACTGTAGACGTTCCTCTGGAAAGGAGCAACAAACATGGCTTCTTGAAGTCTATATAATACAGACTTTCCATGAACCCGAGAGGGAAGAGCATGACTGCTGAGTGGTACAGAGCTCTCCCACCTCTCTGGAGCTGGGGCACCTTTCATCCACAGGGCTTCTGTCTCTGGAAGCTCAAGGGCAAAGCAAATTCCCTTCCTGTCTTTGCTATGTTAAACTGCCATTTATTTGGTTATACAACTACAGTTTGGCTACATATGAAAGGAGAAAAACTTAAAAAATCTCTTTTCAAAGATGCATAGTTCTACCAAGCAAAATGTTCTTTCCCTGTACTAGTGACTTTAGCAGCCAAAACTAAAGGAACTGGGTTAGGAACAAGATAAAACAGGGAGTGCAAAGCTTTCTAGACTGTAAGTCAAGGGTGCAGCTGAAATACAATTTAATTACTGACTAGATTGCTAGAGGCGTTTATGTTATCAAAGGTAATTGCCTGAATAAACATCGCACATAGGGTGGAGGTCTTGGATTGCGTTCCTCCTCCTTGGCTTTGTAGAAGAAAGGCAGCATGGTGGAGCCTTGCAGAAAACTTGCTCACAGCTCACTCCTATGCATGTGCTCTGCCCTTGTAGCTTTTCAAAGCTGCTCATGAGCCTCTGAGCTGTTTTAGGAGATGGTGTGTTAGCTATTCAGTACATACTATCTTTGCTCACAGCTCTTCCTTTTCTTTTGAATTCTGTTTACATACTGTACCATATAGCTTGCCTCCTTTGTGCAATCATAGCACACTGGTAAGAAACGCTCAGCAACGTGCTTCAGTAGAGCATGCATATGTCTACTTAAGCAAAGATCTGATATAGGTGGATATAATTTCTGGTTTGCAAATGCAAATCTGTTAGTTATTCACCATCATACAGTATGGTAAAGATACTTTCACTTTATTTCACTATTTGCTTATTCTCTACAAAGAGCGTGTTGCCAGAGTCTGTAATGACTGCGTAAGTTCAGAATATTGTAAACAAAACAAGAATCTTCAGTTCGTTTGCTTAATGAGTGCTGGTGTTGAATAGTCCCCCAAAAGAATTGGCTCAAGCTTTCTTGCCTGAAACCTTTAAAATGGAGCTGGAAAGGCACTGCCCACATACTAATGGCAGAATGTGGTCTTGGCAGAATCCATAAATGCGATGGTTTCATTATTTCACGTGTATCTCTACCTTCTGCAACATCGAACGTTTCTTGCTGCAACCTTTGCTTTACCAGCAGAGGAGGTGTGGAATGGTAATGTGCCATTGCTGTATATCCAAAGGAAAAAGCTTTTTCATAGCTTTTACCTACAGTAGACATCAAAATTTATATTGCTGCCTTTTAGTTACATTCCCCTTAACCACTGTGTGGAATTTCACCCTATTTTCTTTATGAAGTGACTATTTGAGTAATCAGCTGCTTGGGAAAGAGGGTTCCTTGTGAAAGGGTTTTGTAACCTCCTGAGACTGTGGGTGGGTGACAGAAATTATGGACGCTTAATGCTGTAGACATGAAATGCTCTTTGAATGTTTTATTTTGATAGAATTTGTAAAATACTATGAATTGGAACGTTACAAAAGGGCACATTATTCCTACTTTCATTATTACAGTAGGCTAGATATTAGCTCTAGGAAGCCTGAAGCTTTCTCCTTTAAAGGACAATATACCCACTCTCATCAGTCTTCCTGCAAAACCAACGAAGACCGAAGGTAGGAGCTTTGCTCGAAGGACCCAGCCCTTCCCCATCCCTTCAGGGACAAGAAAGCCTCCTTCGCATCCCCTGCTTTCTCATAGGGGCCCAGTTAAATGCCAGTTAAATGAAAGATTCCTATAAATCAGCAGTAGAAGTCTCTGCTGGTACCCACGTGTATCTGCTAAAACCCAGACGATGTGCATTGGGTTTTGTTTATTTTACTATAAGCCCAAGCATGAACCGAGGCCATGAGGTATGAACCAGCTCTTGTTCCTGATACCAACACCCAGAATTTCACAAGTCTACAACACAATAAGAAATACTCAGTTATTTTCATCCCTTTCACATTCTTGTAAAATAAGGAAATACTACAGTTGCTGAAATAAATGAAACTGTAATGAACATGTGCTGTTTAAAATGTATCCACAAGAAGAATGCAAATTCACTCAACTAATAGATTTTAAAAATCATCCTAGCTTTGAAACTCTCCTGTTGCAACATGTACATGGAAAAAGCCCAATTTAACATGCACATAATCCCCAGACCTGGGGGTGGGTGGGAGGAGAGGGAACTTAAAAAAAGTTAAGCTTTGGTTTGAGAGCCTGTGTGACCTGAACTGCCCATGAACAGGGAAGGAAACTGTGGACATGATAAGCCATTGTTTACTATTAGAAAATGCAAAATAATAAATGCAGGCTCTATATGCAGTTTGCCTCATAGGAGCAGTTTCCTGTGATATTAGGGTTTTTTCTTCCTTATAGCACAGCTGATTGGGCCGTTTAATGTCTTATTACACATGAATTGATACAGTGATGTTTTATTATAATGGATTTCTGTTAAGTGATGAAGTGGATGTTGTTGAAGACAACCAACAGTTCTTGCTATCGGTCTCTAGCACGCTGTGCAAAGTAACTTTGGGCTAGTTGCCTTAATTTCTTTTGTTTCAATTTCCCAGCCTGTAACAGAGAGTGGCAGCAGACTCAGCCGGCAGCATTGCCGTGCTGGCTCTCCATCCGTACCGTAGAGCTCCTTAGCATCCCGCGGAGGAGTGGTGCCGCAGGAGTAGGGAGTATCATGAGTGCTGCAATTGCAAGCTGAATGTAGAGAAGGTTATAGTCCTGTTCCCGCTCGATGGGCATCTTGCCTAATGAGTTCACGGGTTCTGTTGCTACTCTGACTTCTTAAAATAAGTAAAAAACATAAATGAAAGCATAAATTGCTGCTGCTGTCGTTATAACCAGTGTTTCTGCATTTGCATTTTGTTATCAGTTTCTGTTTTGCCATTGTAACATTTCATGATTTTTTAACGTTTTGTTTCCTTTGTTTTCTTCTTTAACATTTCCATTGCTTATTTCTTGTGCCAGTGTACTGTGTCACCTCACCTAAGAAGGACGATAGGTATAGGGAGCCACCGCCCACCCCTCCGGGATATATGGGGATTTCTTTAGCGGACATAAAGGAAGGATCGCCCCACCACCCACACCTAAAACCTCCAGACTATAGTGTGGCAGTGCAGAGGTCAAAGATGCTGCACAGTGACCTCTCTAGACTTTCATCAGCTTCTCTCGGTAGTGAACCGGTGGCCTGTATTTCATCGAAGATGCCTCAGTGGCATAGTCGGCAGCCGTCCAACCCCAAACTAGCAGATATGACTGACGCAGATAGTGAAGAGGATGGTATGTGCAACACCTGAATCGGTAGATGTTAAGTGAACTGCTGTGTGAATCTGGTCTGTGCAGTGTTTACTTCACAACAATGTTCTGGGCTTTCTCTTGGTCATTCTTGGAGATTAAAACTTGATTAATCTCTAAATATACAAATATGTTTGTATGGCTGTATACACATGCATATATGTATGCATGTATATATACTTTTTTTAAAAAAAAGAATGCCTTCCCTTTAGCAAAAGCATGTTGACACCGAACAGACTTTAAATTATATACAAATTATATATTATA